TAATTTCCTTTTTTATTTTACAAATGGTTACAATTAAGAGCTTGCCTTGAGTCTCAGAAGAGAGTTGGACTAGTTTTAAAACTATTGAGACTGTGAAAGACTATGCAGAATTTTGAAACTGAACTGAATGCATTTTGTATTATAAGTGCCAGGGAGTAGAATCTGGTAGTCTGAATGAGATTATCAACTATAAGTTTTAGGCATCTGAATACTTTATGACATTGGGGGGGCAGGCTCTGAAGTATCAAAAGACTCTAAGCATTTTGAGTTAACAGGCATACAAAATAATGTCTCCATGAAGTCAACTCAATATACGCACACAGCAAAAAAGAGTTAGAAAACATTCATGGAAAAACTGCAAGAATCCAGGATATCCACACTGTAGTTTTATACTTGATATCTGCTTTATAAATTCCTTATCCCTATTAATAATGGTTAGAAAGGTACACTCCAATGAAAAACTTCTAATTCAGGATGTAAGTCGCATTATTTAAGTGAAATGAACAAAATCTACCATGATCCAGAGCAATGAGTGTCTAAACAAGAGCATGGCAAATTTATAACTATTAGACACAGCAGTCTGGGGTTATCTCCTAGTCTTTCAATGAATACAGAAAGGCAGAAAACAAGAAGTAAAACTAGACTTACAAAAGAGGAGAGACCATTAACACAAATGGATCTCACTGAAAGACATGTAGCATGGTAAGTGCTCTATGTCTGGACAATTGCTAAGAAAGGCAAATATAGGGACTCAAGAGCCAAAAGCAACTTTCATATGAGAATAACCTATAAAAAAACATGAATTTTAAAGTGGAAACAGGGAAAGAAGACTGCCTGGGGAGATGTGTTCCCTCTTAGTTCTCCCAAGCCATGGCCCTTCCCAGCAAACTCCTGCTTGGCTTTTGCTGCTTTGCCTAGCTGTTTTCTCATTAGGCTCAGCTCTCAGGCTTCTAGCGGAGAAGCCCAGCCCAGAGCCAGTGCAGCTTTGGAGTCTGAGGCAGATCCTTGGCCCTTGCTGTCTGTAGAAGTACAGCTTGCTCAGATTAGTTGCCCCCTCACTCTCTGTGGCAGTGAGTGCCCAGGACATTAACATAGCTTCCTGTGACACCTCTTACTGCATCTCCTGTTCTACCCCTCCAGAGAACTTTGTTGCTTACTAGCACGTTCGGCCAGGATGAAGCAATAAGCACAGGAGACAACATACACAAAAATGAATTTCACATGACTGGCAGTTCCAGAAAATGAAACTAAACAAGAGCACACTGTAGCTGGTTAGCATATAAAACACAGTCTCCCACCAGCTGCCTTGAATGCTGAAGGAATACATCACATGGTTTATCTTTCATGTGAAACACAAAGCCTTCACTTAAAGATAGGCATGTTATTAATGATACCTGTTTCTGAATATTCTCAGCCCAAGACTCACAGTGCAATAGACCTCAAATATATAATTCAAGGTACATAGAACACACTTGACAAATAAGTTGATAGAACATCATATGAAGCATGACATTCTGAACTTTCCCGCACATGCATGTGAATATGCAATGAGATATCAGAAAAAGATTTCTTCAAAGAAATTCAAATATTTAAAACCAAGTATGTTAGTTACAGGAAGGGTTATTGAAGAAGCCATTTTAATAAGAAGAGGTGAATCTACATCTGTTCATCAAAATTTCTGTCACTAAAAATTAGACCAAGAGTGGTAATGTACACCTTTAATGCTAGCATCCGGTAGGTGGAGATTGGAATATCTCAGTAAACTTGAGGCCACCCTGACTAATACAGTGAGATCCTGTTTCCAAAACAAACAAACAAAGCAAGCAGATCTTTAAAAAGCTGATAGAAAAACACAGGCCCTGTTTTAAAAGTCTGCCTTTCATATTTTAAAGACAGAGCTCAATTGATTCCATAAAAAGTATTTCTGGACTTATCAAGAGAAGTTAGAAATCAAGTAGAAAAGAGAAAAAGATAGAATCCAAAGACCCTAACCAGCTTTACAGAAAACGTAAGAGCATCTTCTAGAAGGTAAAGGACCACCAATATGTTTAGCCCTTCATCAAACCTGTGAAGAGAACAGCTCTGGAACTTAATGAAACCATATATGTTTGGGGAGGGAGGGAAGCAACTCAAGAACAAGTATTTTATGCTGAAGCAATTATTTATGGCACTTACAGTGAATCTTTACCAATTATAAACATTGCGATCTCTCCTGAGAGTAAATGCTATGAAAGTAGCAATATCCTGAAGAAATCTTTCCTTGGCAAAATTAAGAAAGTCATATTGCTGGAGGATAAAAAGGAAAACAAAACCACCCCTTTTAGCTTTTCTGTCATGTATTTAAACTGAAATAATGAGAAACCTTTATTTTACAAAATAGATATTAATCTATTTACTACAATCCTGGAAACTAACTTTGCCATGCCCATTAATAGCCTCCTCCATGGCAGATGATGAGGGGTTTCCTCAAATCCTCTATATGAGGAAAGCACACATAGTATCAAGATTTCACAGAATCAAGAAAGATTTCAAACTGAAATTCTCTCTACTTTCTTTCTAATGAATGATGAATTTATTATTTTATTCTAAAGAATACATCATACAAAGCTTGTAATAAGTGGCATTCAAACTCTCAAAAGCCCTTCTTTGATTCCTATGAAAAAGTTTAAATGATGGAAAGTTTTAATGAACATCTGGAGTTTTGATAATTCTGTCCACTTATAAGTAATTCATTACCACAATTGCAATGAATCTTTGCAACGCCGGGCGTTGGTGGCGCACGCCTTTAATCCCAGCACTCGGGAGGCAGAGGCAGGCGGATCTCTGTGAGTTTGAGGCCAGGCTGGACCGACAGCCTCCAAAACAGAGAAACCCTATCTCGTAAAACCAAAAAAAAAAAAAAAAAAAAAAAGAATGCCATCACATTTAACGTTACTTATGAAACCTTATGTTTTGAAAGATAACCCTCAAGAAATAAATATGAGAACATGACACTGAGTTAGCCTGTCTTACTAAGAAATTATATTTAATCTCTCCATGTATAAATCAATCTGGTCAATCCTCATTGTAATAAAGGACTTCTTTCTTTTCTGTGATATACACAAACCCATCAATAATGCACATATGAACATCTACCCTTGCATAATCTCACCAAGGATAGTTGTCACTATTTTAATATCAAATTTTCTTTATGAATTTAGAATTATAAATCCATTAAACCATCTTCCTTCCCTTTGTTCCTTTTTAACATTTCATTTATCTGTTTTGTGTTTTGATGGAAGCAAATATGTGCCAAGGGAAGCATGTGGAAGTCAGAAGCCAATCTAATGGGAGCTGGTTCTCTTTCAGTGATGTGGGCTCTAGGGAGCAAACTAATGCTGACAGCAAGCATCTACACCTGTTGGGCCATCTTGCCACCCCCATCATATAAGTCTTAAGTATCAACATGGGACTCTGGATTAGCGCTTGGGCTTATTTATTTACTACATTACATAGGAAAAGATGAATATATGCAATCCCAACTCTGGAAAAACAAATAATATACCACCATATAAGGTAAAGCAATCCTGACAGTTCTTGACACTAATTTGTATGATGCAAATTTATGAAATCAATTTCTTGTGAAAAGGACAGGGTGTGAAAATTGTATTAAATTTATATTATATTTCTATCAGCATAAGTTAAAAGAAGTCACTAACAGTCATTTGAAAACTGATGCCAGAGCTACATCAGAAGGAAAAAAAACATAATGGCTAATAAATTGAAAGTTCTGATGTGGGAAATGCTCAAAATGTTCAGACTGAAAAGTTATCAACATTTTAGAGACCACTTTGAATGACCAAAGAATAATGATTGGGTTTAGATTGAGTATTTTTGCCTACTTTTAATCACCTGTGTATGAGATTTGCTTAAGTAGTTGTCCAGATTGGTAAACTCTTTTTGTTGTTGTTGTTACTGTTGTTGTTGTTGTCTGATTTTGCTTTTCAAGACAGTTTCTCTGCTTGTAACAGCACTGGATGTCCTGGAATTTACTCTGTAGACCAGGCTGGCCTCAAACTCAGAGATCAACATGCCTCTGTCTCCCAAGTGTTAGGATTAAAGGTGTGCACCACCACTGACATGCTCAGATCAGTAACCTCTTAAAAATTTCATTTTTTGAGTAAGCATCTATACATTATATCATCTTTTTTTTTTTTTTTTTTTTTTTTTTTTTTGGTTTTTCGAGACAGGGTTTCTCTGTGGCTTTGGAGGCTGTCCTGGAACTCGCTCTGTAGACCAGGCTGGCCTCAAACTCACAGAGATCCGCCTGCCTCTGCCTCCCGAGTGCTGGGATTAAAGGCGTGCACCACCAACGCGCGGCTATATTGTATCATCTTTAAAATTATTTTGCTTCTATGCTGAAAGCAATTTTGTATGTTTTCTGACTTATATACTAATTTCCTTACAGCTGTTATACAATAAAGATGAAGTAGAATATGTGGCATTTGCAAATGTTATAACAATGATAACATTTTATAGTGGTAAAAATATCCTTTTCTGTGTGTGTGAAGAGATTACATGTGTGTGCAAGGTTCGTGTGTGTGTGTGAGAGAGAGAGAGAGAGAGAGAGAGAGAGAGAGAGAGAGAGAGAGAGAGAGAGAGAGAGAGAGAGAGAGAGAGAGAGAGAGGGACAATGTTTCACTGAGCCTGAAGCTCAATTATTTGGCTAGACAGATGGGCCAGAGCTGGGATTATGGTCCCTTTTCAAATGCACACTAGAGACCTGCACTGAGATAGACCCTCAGACTTACACAGCAAGCGTTTACCAGATCAGCTAGCTCCCATGCCCCACCAAAACAGTTTTCAGTTATATTTTGAAAAGTATTCACCAAAACAAAGACTGTTGGAGAGAATATTTTAAGTCACGAAAACACTAACAATCCCTTCATATATTTTAATGTGAAAAACTTTTTACCTAGAATATATGTACCCATTATATCAGACATTTATGAAAATCTTACCTAAAGGTGTCATTTTGTAAGAAACACGTCGATGTCTCCACAAAGAAATGGCAGATCTCTCTCGATTCTGCAGTTCTTTTAGTCTTTCTGCTAGGCCACCTCTGTTTAATAAATTATATTGTGTTTAAATAAAAGTTCCTCATAACAGCTGCAGCTTTTAAATTTCACACTCCCAACCAGAAAGAGATGAAACAAGGAAACCTGTATTACATTCTTTCTGGGCATCATTTCCAATTCCTCATTTTCTTAGAAGGTCTATTTCCTGATCCTCACCGAAGTTGGACTGCTATTACAGTCATAGAATTTGCAGTTAAGTCAGTATGATTCCCTTTCCACACTTTCTTAATCTGTCCACTCCGTAAAGGTGCTGTGCATTTACTACCTGCACTCATCGCTTGGCTAGGGTTAGAAAATGCTGCATCCTATCATGCAAATAGGAGAAATGGGAAAAGGAGTAAAGGAAGGAAAATCCTATGAATTTCTTGAATTACTTTCCTCTATTTCACCTACCCACCTCATCTAAATTTCTAAACCTGAAATTTACAAGGTACCTCTCTCCATTAATTCATGCCTAAGAAACTACCACCAAGTAGCTTAACTCCTAATGTGTTCAATCAACCACTTCCCATTTAAAATCTGCTGCTCCTACTACTTCATTTCTAACACTGTAACTACTTCCTGGATGACAACCAGTCTTCAGTCAGGACAGAGGCTTACTGTCATATCTCCTGTATACAAAAACATGCTTGGCACACAGAAGGTCCTCAATAGAGTTGGGAACATTATGTTCTAGAACTGGATAACATCAGCTGTGCCATTAAAATCATTCTAATATCAAGCACAACATCCTTCCCACACACTCCTTCTTAGTAACTAAACCCAGAGCCAGACATATACTAGACAAATAAATACTCTATCACTGAGTTAGATTCCTAGTTCCTGGATTTTTGAGATGAGATCTAACTGTGTAGCACCCTAATCTGACATCAAATTCACAATGTTACACAGGCTTTCTTGAATTACAATCCTAATGCTTGTAGTATTTTTAGAGGTGTGCATCATCAAATCCAACTACCATTGTCTTTTGAAGCCACACCTTCATTTGGGGCATTATTGGATTCAGAATGTTGTGATTGTGACTATCTTGAGTCATAATGTCTACCCAGTATTACTAGAGGGTTCCACTTATAGTATTTCCCACTATGATACAAACAAACTAAACCATCAGAGTGGTATGTATAGCTTTATGACTGAACCTATCAGCATCAGGTATGTGTTTGATGCCCATGATATTAACTTCCTACTGCCCATGTCCTTTTAAACCTGAATGAGGTCACTTTTGTCTTCACCATTTAATAAGCCCTTTTCCTTTGACTCAAATGACAGGAATCCTGTGGTCTTCCCGCTATACACAATCAAACATCTGCCACTAAGTCACTAACTGTACTCTGTATTACTGTGGATCTTTCTTGTTCTTTGGTATCATGACAGGGACATTATTTTGTTCCAATTTATAACAAAAACACCTTGTAACACATAAAGTTGAGTCATGTCTCTAAAGGCTCCTGCAGACATGACACACTCACAAAGGTCTGATACACTAGTAACAAGGATTTTCATCCACTGTGGCTCTCCTCAGCCATATGAGGTATTTTTATCCCTCAATCGAAGCTCTCTTCTACTTTCTTACATTCTTAGACATTAATTTGGTAACTCTCTCTTACCATACTCATGCTATAAAGGTAAAATAATGGACTTATATATATTTCTCTCTTTATAAGTTACATTTGATAATGGAACAGTGATTCACCTGTCTCTATCTAACAGAGTACTGATGCTTAATAAAACTTGATAGGCCAAACAACACATCTCCACTTGAATGAACAACTTTGTAAACTGGCCCTGAACAGGCTCACTAATTGTCTATCAAAATAAGAATTTTATTTTATCAATTTTCTTTCTCAATTAAACATGTATTTTAAAAATTAAAGTCTCAGTGGATGTTTTAAAGAAAGAAAAGAACAAAGGAAAAGAAAATTACAAAGATGATTTAACCTTAAAAATTTCTTCTTTGTTGCTGAATTTTCTGTAGTCTTGGGAAACTTGACCATGTATTTCTGGGGTGTGCTCAAAAGTGGAGGAGCTGAATTTGCCAATGAGTCAGTCTGTCTACTCAAAGACTGTCTTGCATCTGATTTGAAATCCACCTGGTATTTGTGAGGGGATTCTGAATCAATGAACAGGGCATTTTCTGGGTCATCTTCTTTGTCACTATCTGATGAATACTCCAAAATTTCTGTAGAAATTGGCTGCAAAAATTAAAAGAGATGCAATTAAATATTCTTCATTTAAGTACACATGCATATATGGCTATCTATGTTCTCACAAAAAAAAACCTTAATACTAAAAAATAAAGAGAAGAGTAAGTTAAACTAGCTGCAAGTCAGGCAATAATTTATAGACTACATCAAATCAACTCAAGTTTTTTTTTTTTGCTTTTGTTTTTATCATTCTTCAGCAAACTAATAGCATGTGCCATATGTACTGGATTATCCAGTGTGAGCTAGTAACATACCTGAGAATCTAGAAGCAGTCATTACCTGATATTTGTTGGGAGGAGGGTATTTCTTAGCTTTAACATTTTAATGAGCAGAGCCCGGCAGTGGTGGCGCACGCCTTTAATCCCAGCACTCAGGAGGCAGAGATAGGCAGATCTCTGTGAGTTCGAGGATGGGCTGGACCGACAGCCTCCAAAACAATACAGAGAAACCCTGTCTCATAAAAACCAAAAAAAAAATTTTTTAATGAGGAGACAACATTCATTATTTGTCATAAACCAAATATAAAGACACTGTCTCTTTAGGTATAAAGCATTTTAACTCAGCAAAAGAGCCACTAAGAGTAAATATGAAAACTTGCCTCTCCAGCATAAACTGTCATTTGAGTTTTTTTGATTTTAGCCATTCTGACAGAAGTGAGATGGTATCTCAGAGTTGTATGATTTGCATTTCCCTGATGGCTAAGGATGTTGAGCTAAGGATGTCTGTCAGCCATTTTAGACTCCTCTACTGAGAATTATCTATTTAGTTCTGTACCCCACTTTTTGATTGGATCCTTTGACGTTTGGAGACTTGCTTCTTGAGTTCTTTGTAAATTTTGGAGATCAGACCTCTGTCAGATGTGGGGTTAGTGAATATCTTTTCCCAATCTGTGGGTTGCCTTTTTGTCTTGCTGACTGTGTCCTTTGCCTTACAGAGGCTTCTCCATTTCAGGAGGTACCATTTATTAATTGTCGATCTTAGTGTCTGTACTACTGGAGTTATATTCAGGAGTAGTCTCCTGTACCAATTTGTTCAAGGGTGCCTCCCACTTTCTCTTCTAACAGGTTCAGTGTGGCTGGATTTATGTTGAGGTCTTTGATCCATTTGGACTTAAGTTTTGTGCATGGCAATGGATCTATCCGCATTCTTCTACATGCCAGCATCCAGTTATGCCAGCACCATTTGTTGAAGATGCTTTCTTTTTTCCATTGTATATTTTTAGCTTCTTTGTCGAAAATCAGATGTTCATACAGGTATGGGTTAATATCACGGTGTTCAATTCGATTCCATTGGTCTACCTGTCTATAATAGAGCTTGAAGTCAGGGATGGTGATGCCTCCAAATGTTGCTTTGTTGAATAAGGTTGTTTCAGCTATCCTGGGTCTTCTGTTTTTCCATACAAAGTTGATTATTGTTCTTTTAAGGTCTGTGAAGAATTGTGCTGGGATTTTAATGGGGATTGCATTAAATCTATATATTGCTTTTGGTAAGATTGCCATCCTACCTATCCAAGAGCATGGGAAATCTTTCTACCTTCTGGTGTCTTTAATTTCTTTCTTTAAAGACTCAAAGTTCTTGCTATACAGGTCTTTCACTTGTTTGGTTAGTGTTACCCCAAGGTATTTTATGTTGTTTGTGGCTATTGTAAAGGATGATGTTTCTCTGATTTCTTTCTCAGTCCTTTTATTGTCTGTATAGTAGGGCTACTGATTTTCTTGAGTTGATCTTGTATCCTGCCACTTTGCTGAAAGTATTTATCAGCTGCAGGAGTTCCTTGGTAGAGTTATTTGGGTCACTTATGTAAACTATCATATCATCTGAAAATAGTGAAAATTTGACCTCTTCCTTTCCAATTTGTATCCCCTTGATCTCCTTATGTTGTCGAATTGCTCTAGCTAGAACTTCAAGTACAATATTGAAGAGGTATGGAGAGAGTGGACAGCCTTGTCTTGTTCCTGATCTTAGAGGAATTGCGTTGAGTTTCTGTCCATTTAGTTTGATTTTGGCTGTTGGTTTGCTGTATATAGCTTTTGTTACATTGAGGTAAGTTCCTGTTATCACAGATCTCTCCAATACCTTTACCATGAAGGGGTGTTGGATTTTGTCAAAGGTTTTCTCAGCATCCAGTGAGATGCCGAGAAAGGGGAACACTCCTAAACTGCTGGTGGGAGTGCTGACTTGTACAGCCACTTTGCAGATTCCTCAGGAAAATGGGAATCAGCCTACCACAAGACCCAGAAATTCCACTCTTAGGCATTTACCCAAAAGATGCACATTCATGCAATAGGATGTCTGTTTCACTATGTTCAAAGCAGCATTATTTGTAATAGCCAGAACCTGGAAGCAACCTAGATGCCCCTCAGCTGAAGAGCGGATAGAGAAAATATGGTACATTTACACAATAGAGTACTATTCAGCGGAAAAAAAAATGGAATCTTGAAATTTGCAGGCAAATGGATGGCACTAGAAGAAAACATCTTGAGTGAGGTAACCCAATCACAAAAAGAGAAACATGGTATGTACTCACTCATTTATGGATTTTAGACAAGAATCAGGGGAGTGCTAGCCTAAAATCCCACTGCCAGAGAGTCTGGGAAATAGAACCTTCATCCAGAGACTGATGAAAGCAGAGGCAGACACCCACAGACAAACACTGAACTGAACTCCTGGAATCCAGTGTCAGAAAGAGAGAACTGAGGAGCAAAGAAGTTAAGATGGGGGGCTGGTTTAACCCACAGAAACAGTTGTCCTGAACAAGGGGGAGCTCTTGGACCCCAGATGGATGGCTGTGAGGAAAGCATGGGACTGACCCAGACCCCATGAATGGGCATGTCAGTGAGGAGGCCTAGGTGATCTATGGGGCCTTGGGTAGTATTTATCCCTGGCGTACAAATAGACTTTGAGTGCCCATGCCACAATATGGGAGGTTCTCTAAGCCGGGACTCTTGAGGGAGAGGCTAGGCCCTGCCCTGGATGAAATGACGGTTACTGGAGATCCACCATGGAGAGCCTCACCCTCCCTGGGATCAGAGTGGAGACCGGGTGGGGGACTGGGGAACCTGGTTGGTAGGATGGGGGAGGAGGGGAAGAAGAGAGAGCTGGGATTGACATGTGAAACAAGATTGTTGCTAACCTAAATTTTAAAAATTATTATTATAAAAAAAGAAAACTTGCCTTTTCTGGCACAATTCTAATATATTTGCTAGAGTTGTTAGAAATCTTTAACATAAACAGGGATTATTTAAGAATGTGAGTAACTGTCTAACAGTTCTTAAAATATTTCTTTCTTGTTTTACTCAAATTTCTGAACTTGTAAGATTATTTTTAAAAGTGGATAAGAAAACTGAAATTTGCATCATAAGGCCATTTTGTTGGATCTAATACTTTCTTTTGATGTCTTCTGTCTGCTCTGAAACACACTAAGTGTGCTGAATTTTCATTCCAACTAGAGACAGGCCAGAGTCATTTGGGAAGAAAGAACATCTGCTGAAAAAATGCCCATGAAACTGGCCAGTGTAGCACTTTCTAATTAGTGACTGCCATGGGAGCACCCAGCCCATTGCGGGTGTTGCCACTTCTGGTCGGCAGTCCAGGCGTGTGTAAGAAAGCAGACTGAGGAGGCCATAAGCAGCATTACTCCACAGCCTCTGTATCAGCTCCAGCCTCCAGATTTCTGCTTGAGTTCCTGCTGTGACTCCTTACTGTGAGGTGGGAATGTAAGTGAAATAAACCCTCTCCTCCCCAGGTTACTTTTGGTCATGGTGTTTTGTTAACAGCTATAAAAAGCTTAACTAAAACAGCTAAGAATCCTAAACGTGATGAAATTTTATTTTCATAGTACTTAGTTTTACAGGTCAGTTCCATGTTGCTCTAGTTTTAGTAATAGTTTATCCTCCAACATTTTCATTTTACAGTTTTAGCAACCTTATATTATTTACTATCTATTCCAAAGTCTATTAAAGTACACTTCATCACGAGTTGAATGGGACTTTTAAAAATAATTATTTCAAATGGGACCCTTAAGAGCCCATCTATTTTGCTAGATTAATATGGACCGCACGTCACTAGCAATGTAGGAGGCATCTGAGTGAAAACAGGAAGTGGAGTGTGAGCATGTCAGGAAGCAGAGTGAGTGTGAGCATGTACCTGCACTGTTACTCAAGTAGCTAGAGTCTGCTAATGTTCACAAAAGCTTACTATACTGGTCTACTCTGAAATTATATCCTTCAGCACATGTGAAGAGTCTCTAAAATGATACTGTCCAGTCCTCTATCATCTAAGACAGAGTTTTGGTAAGTACCTTCACAGTTTTAAGAAGAAGAAGAAAAACAAAAGAATGAAAAGCATGGCTCCAGTTCCTTTCCATCCTTGCAGTTCTATGCCTAAATCATGGCAGCTACATACTTGTCTTTATATTACATAAATGAGCACTAGGAGCACCTGCTTTCCTCACAATACTGCTTCCAGATAAATGTTAAAAAATAAGCCACAAAAGAGCCAGAGCATTTTAAACTGAAAATGATGGCTCATGATACCTTCTACATTACTCGAGAAAGACAGAGAAACCCTGTCTTGCAAAAAACCAAAAGAGAGAGAGAGAGAGAGAGAGAGAGAGAGAGAGAGAGAGAGAGAGAGAGAGAGAGAGAGAAAGGCATATCTAAATAATTTTATCTTTTTCCTTTTCTTTTTCTCTCCTCCCCCCACCCCCTTGGATTTTTCAAGACAGGGTTTCTCTGTGTAACAGTCCTAGCTGTCCTGGAAATCGCTCTGTAGACAAGGCTGGCCTGGAACTCACAGAGATCTGCCTGCCTCCATCTTCCAAATGCTGGGATTAAAGGGTGTGCACCACCACTGCCCGGCTGTCTTTTTCTTGTGAGCAATCCCTTCGACCCCCATGAGGACTCAGCAGAGTTCTCTACCACTTAGGTACACTCTGTGTACTCTTCATCAGAAACTCTCCACAGCCCAGGTACACTATGAATTGTAAT